GTAAACCTATGCAGCAAAAATAAATAAATAAATAAATAAATAAATAAATAAATAAATAAATAAATAAATAAAAATAAAATTAAAAAAGGAAAAAGAAAAGAAAAAAAGAAGAGTGCTTTGACATATAATTTTATATAAGATGTGCATCATTGTTACTAAAGAATTTAATAAATCTGTGAATATATTCATCTTTTTTTTTCTTTGTGGGAATTTTCTTCAATTTCTTTATATTTGTTCTTAGCACTAGTTATTTCTAATTTAGTTGTATTAAGTTTTCTGGGGATTTTAAGTTATTCTATTAGAATCTCTTACCCTTTGAGATAGCATGGAGGGACCTGGAGAGTATCATGCTAAGTGAAATAAGTCAGTGAGAGAAAGACAAATATCACATGATCTCACTCATATATGGAGTCTAGTTAACAAAATAAACTGATGAATGAAGTGGATCCAGAGACATGGAAGCATGGAACAGAGTGTGGAATCTTGGAGGGAAGGTGGGGAAGGGTGAATGGGAGGGAGGTAATAAACCAAAGACCTTGTAGGCATATATGGACACAGATAGTGGGGTGGTGAAGGCCTGGAGCGGGTGGTGGGTCTTTACAGTAATTCCCCACCAACTGAGGAAATTTGAACACAGTATGTTCCTTGCATGCTAATATAGTCCAACAGAGATGAGTTAATTACTTCAATATATGAGGGTCTCTTGGGCAAACAAGAGTAACCAGTCTTTTTGTTTTCTCTCTCTGTATTTTCCTCTGGAAAGAAAGAGCAGAAATTGACACAATGTAGTCTAAAAAATATAGGTCAGTTATATGGGAGCTGTATCATGATAGACACTTCCAAGGGAGGATATGAAAACATCTATTCTGGAGAACTTTAAAAATAGTCTTCTCATCTATCCAGGGGTGGTTTCCAGGAGATACTGCCTGAAGGCACAATAGCTCCCAGCTGCGGTTCCACAGACCTGTCAGGTCTCTTAGGAATTTTTCACTGTCATCTACAGAGTGAGGGAGGGAAATAAAGACATTGGTTTTCTGTCTCTCTGTTTCTCTGTCTCTGTCTCTCTCTCTTTCAGCATCTGTATTAGATTGCTTACTGTCATTTCTTAAGACAGACTACTCTTTTTGTTTGTGTTAAAGTATCCTCTTTTATGAAATTACTAGTTGCCCAGTGCACAAAATTTATGCCTGGCGGGGGGTGGAGTGGGGGAAGATGTCCCTCAGCCCAGCCTGCACCCTGTGGGATGGGGTCTAAACCAGCAGTCGGACAGCTCTCACAATCCAGGACCTCTGGTTCCTAACCACTCTGCCTGCCAGCCTGCTTGCCCCCAACTGCCCTCCACCAGCCTTCTTGCCCCCAACTGCCCCTCTTGCTGGCTTGATTGCCCCCAACTGCCCCCCCTGCTGGTGACCCTCCTCCTCCACTGGGCCCTGCCTACGCTGTGCACACAGCTATCTTGTGATAGCCATCTTGTGACGACGTTAGGGCATGATGTGTGAGGGCGTGACCACCACCTAGGTTATTATAGTATAGATTCCTGGAAAAGACTATTATTTGTATCTTCTTCAAAAATCAATTGCCCAACTGCCCTCCCCTGCTGGTCCGTTCGCCCCTAACTGCCCTCCCCTGCCAGCTTCATGGCCCCCAACTGCTTTCCACAATTTCTAAAACTTCAGACATTTAGGTACATTCACAACTAGGACTGATTTATAAATGTTGAATTTATTTATAAACCAGTGGCCCGGTGCATGAAATTCATGCACGGGGG